TGAAAAATCAAGCTGGCACCACCGTAGGAGAACCAGTTTGGGGGCGTGGCAGGCCTGGGTCGCTCCCGGTTCCAAGTTACTACCTATTTGGCCACACCGGTCGGATCCGGTAGCAACCCACCTCTGCTATGAACCTATCGGTAACATTCAACCTTGCTACGGCCACCTCTGATTGTGAGGGTACACACTCCGTGTGGCACAGTTGCAGTGCCTGCAACCTTTCTGGGGCACGTCCGATGTTTCACCCTTTTTTAGAAGGCCGTGGCCCCCTGCTGCAGAGTCCCGGAGCGTCAGAACAATTTTCCCGCGGCCGTAGAAGGAACCCCCCCAAACATGCGACCTCAAATCCCCTCTCCGAATTAGCTCCAAGCTGGGATTAATTATGGTCTGAAAGTGGTGACATCATGACGCTCATCCATCATGGCCACATGGAGAGACAGCTGAGGGACGGGATGAAAAAGCCACTTATGATGAAGCTCGGGGGTCGGTGCTTTGGGGCCTCCTGGTGGGGTCAAGGGGTGAGCCAGGGCTGCGAATCAGCAGGGATCAATCCAGATGGAGCATCTGTTCTCACTTATCCATTTAGTCGCGGCTCAACGCACCAACCTTCTCCAGGAAATCAACACGAGCTGCTGGACGGCTTCGGTGAGTTTGGTCGAGAAGCGCAATTCGCCTTTGAAACCTCATCATAGATTGGATGGCTTGGAGGCACCAAGCGTGGGCTTTTGGAGCCCACTCCCAATTTTGCAAAGGGTTGTGGAAACCTACGAGGGGGACGTCCCATCTCGTGGAGGTTCATTTCATGGAGACCTATGTGGGAGGAGATGTCCATCCCACACATGCTTTTGCGATGTTCCACCCAGGCTGTCTTTCTGCTCTTGAGAACGGACAGGGGGAGAGAAGATGTCCCTGGGGGAGGACACCCCATGCGTCTCAACCCCGTAGGAGAATCTTCCGGGCCTTTCACAAAGCTCCCTTGGTGAAGAACCTCAACAGAACCCAACTGCCCAGGAGAAGAGTGGACCATTTCCATCCGTAGCAAAGGTCCCACCAAGACCACATCTCAAAACACATCTCCCCCTACTCTCTGGTTCTCACCAGATCACCGTGGTAGAAGGTTCTCCTCGTTGTGTGTTCTCCGGGTTGTGTGTAGACTCTCAGGGGGTGGGGTGGGGTCGGGCCTCGCTCGACTTCATTAAAGCCACTCAACCCTTTTGAAAAATAAGGGGGGCACAGTTTTTAGACCACACATTGGCTTGGGGTGGTGGTGGCACAGGAATCGTCCCACGCCAAGCGTGGAGAACTTGGATCTCAACCTGGTTTCGGAAGGTTTTCATAAGACCGCAAGAGCTCCACATTCTCAAGCAAGAGGGCTTCCTTGCACCCAAAAAATAAAAAATAAAAGGCAGCTTTGACTCACGGGTCAAAGATGAAGAAGAAGAAGACGCTTGTGTGAATTGGTTTCTGTCTGTATACTTCACGTCGATGATGAAGTTACGCAGGATATCTTGAAGACATTCATGGTTGACTCTCTTTCTCTTTCTTGCTCTCCAGAAAGACGTTCAGAGACAAGATCGTGGGATGAGTTTTCATTCTTTTGTTGTTGTGTTGTCCTCTCGCTACAAAGTCGATGCGGAGGACGGTGGGGTTTTTTTTGGGGGGGGTCCACCTTCCTGAGTCCCAAGTTGGAAAATTAGAAGACCGAGCAGCCCCCCCTCGGTTGCTGGGCGGCCCTGAACAAGGCTTCCTCAGGTTCACATGGCCATCAGGAGGACAGTACTGGTGGCTGTGGAGCTCCACACCATCATCCAGAGGTCAATGGTCAAGGCCAGGGCAGCGTCCGAGGGTCCGGGTGCGAGGTGAGAGGCATCACGCAGCAGCTTCTCTTCTGCGGACATCTGGAACGACAAGGAGAGAAATGGAGAGCGTGAGGAGGTGGGACTCGATGGGTTCCCCGGGCGGCGAAGGATGGAGGCCAAATCAAGAACACGAGAGGCGGCGGGGAAGTTCAGAAGGAGTGTGTTCTGACCCACCTCCCCCAAAACGACAAACCCACTGAGTGAAAGATTCCTTTTTTAGGAGCACCAGCAGTCCCGGCAAAACGTTTCTCTCTCACCACAGGTTAGCGAGTCCGTCGGGTCAGAAAATGAATAGTTCCATCCCAAGGACCGGCCCATAGATTTCCACTGCTCTCCTCTCCTCTGCCACATCTATTCATCTCCGCCCCCTGCCTTTTATCCCCAGAGCTAGAGTGGGGCTTCGCTAGCAACGGTGGCTCTTCCGTCCCACGCCCGGCCCATAGATTTCCACTGTTCTCCTCTCCTCTGCCACATGTATTCTTCTGCGCCCCCTGCCTTTTATCCCCAGAGCTAGAGTGGGGCTTCGCTAGCAACGGTGGCTCTTCCGTCCCACGCCCGGCCCATAGATTTCCACTGTTCTCCTCTCCTC